AACCCAAAACCCCAACCCCAACCCCAAACCCAACCCCAAACCCAAACCCAAACCCTGAAAGGAAATCAAGCAGATCAAATTCTGTAGAGAGTTCTGAGATAAGATAAATATTTAGAACCCTAAGCTAATAAAAGAAGGAACAAGAACAAATGTAAGTCCAAGCTATTGTCGAAGAAAGATAGTCTGACTAAGACTCTCAGAGTGGCAGGGAAATCGAAAAGAGGCTCGAGATCGACTCTAATCTCATGGCTCGCCAATGGTCGTCAAGTCGATTTAATGAAGAACTTCTCAAAGACATCAAAATAATTGAGGAGGTCATGCACCTTGCTAAATCAATCGAAGAAGACCAGGACGAGATAATTCTTCGTAGGAAATATTTCCAGACAGACTTATTAAGTTTGCCTAAGAACATAGAGTGATAATGACTGAAATTATTCTTAAAATTTAATTTTGAATAAATATAGTCGAACTTAAGGCTACAGAAGGACTTTTTATTAAGTAGAAAATGTTAGTTTAACAAGGCCAAATACTTACTAATGGGAGAACTTGACTTGATACAAGCAGTGAGCGATGAACAGATAGATAGTGTAACTAAGGAATGTTTAGGATTCTCGAATGTAGTATATTATGACTCGGATATCGTTATGCTTGCTATCCGTAGAGGTCGTTAACAGTGATGCATAATTTACATATCAATTATTATTATTATTTTCATATTTACAGATTGACTTAAAATCTAAAGAGTTAAAATTAGGCTTAAACATCTTATTTATTAGAATCTTAAAGCCTAAGATAATGGACGTCAAGTTGAGGCGATGTTGAATTTAAGAAGGATTTTTATTAGAGATATTTAATGTAAAATAAATGACGTCTGCTGAAATTATATTAGAAAGGAGCCATTGTCTCAACATTAGAGACCTAATTAATTGTTGAAGATAGAACGAGGTTATTTTGCAAAATAGATCTCTTTTTTTCAGAAAATGATGAGGCTATTTTATTTGAATTAAGGGCTTACTACAATAACGATCAGGTGTGGAGAAGAATTATATAAGCCTTAAACTCATCCTTTCTGTCACGAACAGGTGAAATATGTATTCTCTAAAATTGTTCGGCCCAATTTTTTCACCTCTGTGCGTTTAGAGTTTCTAAATAAAAATATTGTGATATCCTCGCCTTTATTATAAATATTGCCTTATTTTTAGCTTTTTTTTCACAAATCATAAACCATACACCTTTTTTCTGAAAGTTTTGCAATCTTTT